AGTTCACAACAGCCAGACCTCCTCTTAGCCTGACCACAACTCCTGCCCAGCTCAGGGGAGTGCTGAGGTCGGGGGATTGGAGCCCAAACGACACAGTCTCAGGAGCTGGTCTGGCATCAGGTGTCTGTGGCCTAGAACAAGAGGTTGGACAAGATGGTCTGCGGCCCAGTGTCATTTGAGTTGGGTTGTTGAGAGGTCTGACTTTTGCCCCTGGAAACGAGCTGCAGAGACCTGGAGTGATGATGAAGGTGACTCTCAGGACTTCTCAGCCTGCCCTTCTCAGTCTCATCATGCACTCTCCCAGCCAGGAGCACTTGGCTTTGTTGGAGGAAAAACCACAAACTTGACAAAGGCCTGACTGAGTCTCTGGAGAGACTGCTACTTCCGGGCCCCAATCCTACTTGACATTCCAGAACTGGCCAGTAAAGTCCACTCTTGGAAGTTACAAAGTAATTGCCGAGCAGAGATTTAATTACAGGATCGGGCTTTGGGCTGTTTTGAGAGGAACCTATTATTTGGCTGTTTCTTTTACTGGAAGAGCAGGTGTGAGGTGTTGTTATTAGATGGAGGGGGGGCCCAATAGCAACAGGACAGGGTGCTGAGCTGGACAGAGAATTAGGCCCCATCCCTCCCTGCCGCAGGGAACTTGGTCTCAACAGCTGCCAGGCTGACAGGGTGAAACTGAAACTGGAGGTGTGTGTGTGGGGGGGGTGCTGCTCACCGCTGAACCCAGACCTTCCAGAGACTCCCCCAAGACCTCACCAACATGGGAATGAAATCGGGGTGAAATGAATCATGTAAGGGCAGGGGGCATCCTGACATCCAGACTTGGCAGCCTCAAGCCCTTTTGGTGCTCATTATCACACTGGTTCCCCCCTTTTCCTCCATCCCCAAACAATCCTAACCCAAAAAGCAAGGGCACAAAAAGGGGAGAGAAATGAACAAATACTTAAGGAGTACCCCTGTGGGCCAGATCCTGTCCTGGGTACTTCACATCCATTATCTTATTTAATCTTCAGAACAGTCCTGGAAGAGGTACTGTCACCAATCCCAAGACAGATGAGGAAAGTGGCTCAGGGGTTGATCTTTTTTTTGTTTTTTTAATTTCTCCTATAGGCAAGCTGTTTACCAAACCCTTACTTTCTTCCCAAGAAATGTCCCACAAACCAATAACTCCACTCTTTCTGTTTCTGCCACCAGCATACAAGTCCTGCCCCACCCCCACCCCTCCTGCTTGTCAATTAACCACTTGATTACCCAGTGAAACAATCAATCAAGCCCCTGAGCCTTACACTCTCTCCTTCCCATCCATCCTTCATCCAGATGTTAGCTGTTACCCTTGCCTGCACAGTCATCAGTGCGCATCTAATAGTCGCTGACCCTAGCTAGGCCAGAGCTTCTCAAACTTGAACATGCTCCTGCATCACCAGGGGACCTTGTGAAAACAAAGCTCCTCTGCTGGGTACCTTAATCCATCAGCTCACTGAAACTTGTAATGACTTTACATTAATAGTCTGTTTTAAGAGATGAACAAACTGAGGCCCCAAGAAATTGCCCGATGCCTGGGATGGGGCCGGAGAGCCTACATTTCTAGGAAGATCCCAGCGGATGCAGATACTGCTGGTGCGTGGACCACATTTCTAGGCTGAACTCTTCTGCCTAGTTACTTTAATTTTTAAATAGGAAATACATTTCCATGGTTTGAAAATGTTTAATTCTAGAAAGGCGTTTAGTGAAAAATTTCCCTTTCTCTCCTATCCCTCCATTTGCCCAGTCCCCCGACCTCCACCCCCAGTAAACACTTTTATTCGTTTCTTATGGATCTTTCCAAAGTTCCTGTGTGCTGATACAAGCAAATAAGATCACACTCATCCTGCCCCAAATGGTAGCAGACGACACACACACCGTTTTGTCAACAGCGTATCAGTTTATCTTGAGATAACTGGACATCGTAGGCTGACTCATTCATTTTTAGAGTTGCATTATTATTATTCCATTGTGTGGATGTGCCATAATTTATTTAATCAGTCATCTCCAGGTAGACAATTTAAGTTGTTTCTGATCTTCCCAGCTGGCCTTTTTAAGCCTTCCACACCCTGGCCAAACTTGCTGTTACCTCACCCCCATCCCCCAGTTCCCAGCTCCACCATGCTGAGCCCTTGCAGAGGACTTCACACCTCCCGTATGCCCTCCTCAGATCCTCTGACGCACCCATCCACTGACCCACCGACCCACAGACATACCAACCCACCATGATTGTGCCTTCTCTGAATCTCTATTAGCCTCTTCCTCATCATTTAGCTCTCCACTCTGCACCGCTCCATGTGTCTCTCCAAATGACTAAAGCAACTTAACTCAGGAACCATGCCTTTGATTTCTCTGCATCCTTCACAGCCCAGAGCTGGGCACACAGCAATTGTCAATAATATTACATCCCTATCTCATAGGGTTACCATGAGGCTGGATCTGGGTGTAAGAGCCCAGGAGCTCCCCAAGGTGGGAGGAACCTCATATTTCAGAGGTCTCCAAGGAAGAAGCTCTTATCTTGTGCCTGATTGTCTAGAGCACTCGGGTGGGTTGTGATGATATCCAGGGTGTGATGGGTGTCTGGGGTTCCTTTGCACCTTTCTCATGTGGACAGTGGGAGGACCCAGGATGTGGAGATAGGAGGGTGGAAGGATGGATGGCATTGTTATGTGCACATGCCCTAGAATGAGTGCCTTCCCTTCTCTATTAACATCCTTGTCATCCTTCATGGGCCAACTCAAGTCTCACTTCTTCCAAGAAGCCTTCCTGGGTTTCCCCCAGCCCACGCTAACCTCCCTTCCTCTGAATTCCTGCTGTGTGTATTAGTGACAGCAATCAATGTTCTGTACTTAGTCATCATGGCCTGCCACCTTGAATCATGTAAACCTTATCTCCTTGATGAGACCCCAAGGTCCATTATGGTAGAAACAACACTTCTTTAATTCTTTTATATCCCCACATGTCCTGAACCCTCAGCACAGCACTGGGCAATTGAGAGAGCCTCCATAGACACTCATTGAATGAACAAGAACTAGTTTGAGAGCCATAGTAGTGGGTAGGGAGGGACAGGGTTGACCACAGGTGTGTCTCCAACCAAAAACACTTGGGGAACACCTCATAGCCATAGTCCCTGAAGGTTCCACTCATCCTGTCCATTGAGGCTGGAGCAAGGAAGGAGGACTTTTCAAAAATGTCACTGTCATGAAAAATAAACAAAGGCGCAGGACTGTGTTAAATTAAGAGATTAGAGGAACATAACAAGCAAATCCAATGTGTGCATCTCGATTAGACTGCGAATTTAAAAAAAACTAAAAAATTAAAATGACATTTTGGGAGATGATAATAGGGTATTGATGTGAAATTTGAGTGTGATAACTATTATGGTCATTTAGGAGAATGTCCTGGGCCTGCCGAGTGGCTCAGTTGGTTAAGAGCTCTCTCAAGAGCGCGAGCTCTTAGCAACAGGGTTGATGGTTCGATTCCTGGCCCGAGCTGAGCTACCAACAGGTGGCAGAATGGCTCAGCAAAAAAAAAAAAAAAAAAAAAAAA